CCCCTCCACACACAGAGTTTCCTCTGTATGTGTGCTGTTTGTTCTATTTTTAATATCACCAACATTGTATTAAGTAATATTGGAGCCACTATAACAGCTTTAATAGCCCCCCCCCTCGGCTGTATCCACACAACTGAACAAATGATAATATCATGATGAAAAACCTCGTAGATGACTGCATGCATCAGGCGAGACCTCCGTATGTGTTGTTTGTTCTATTTTTAAGATCACCAACATTGTATTACGTAATGTTGGCGCCATTATTACAGTTCTCATCCCCCCCCCCCCCCCCGGTGCATTGACCACAAGCGAACAAATGACAATATCGAGATGAAAAACCTCGTAGATGACTACGTGCCTCAGGCGAGCCCACTTAGGACACCGACGACTCACGTCGTTATCTGAAGTTTCCACACAGACAGATAGGATGAAGCTGTGAGTCTAAACGTTTCAGCAAAAAGAAACGTTTGTCCTGTTTCTCAACATGCTGATGAGCTCGGCCACTTCAGAGGACGGCCGGAAAAAACATTTTAGAAACGCAGACCTGGCAATCCAAGCCACGCGCAACAAGAAACGTTATAGTTGTTGTTGTTGTACTTGTAGTTGTTGTTGCTGCTTAAACCCTTTCCGTACGTCATGTTTTACTATCGTATCCATACGACGTGGGGAACTCTGTGCCACCACTTTCCAAAGAGGAAATTTACTCGTTAATCCGATCCATACGCTTTGCATAGTAGTCTGTCAAAGTGATTTTTTGAGAAATAGATGTAGTTTCACAGAGATTTTCGTACTTGAAGTATTCTAAAATGTGAAGAATACAACCAGGAGGGTACAAAATGGGCGTACGAATAGGTTAACAGCTTGGCTTTGACAATCAACCTCTATTATTTGAGTCTCAACGAAATGTGGTTCGCTGTTAACTCTTTCTTTGTCTGAACCAATGAGTTTTGGGTAAATTAGATGTGCTGCCGACTGCCATGACCTCGGGATCGAATTTTCATTTTTGTTTCTACCGCCGCGTTTCAGGTCTGGTCTTTGAAGGGAGGTAGCTTCCGTTCTTTCTGAGTTGACTGAGAATTATTTGAGTTACATCCCTTCATCATCATCATCCGAGGCCATGCCCACTTTCGTGGGCGATCATGGACCTCCACTTCACTCTGTCTTGCGTTGCAGCGATGGTGTCTGTTGTTCTTGCTGCTCCTAGCCATCTTGTCATCTTGTCCAGTATCTTTTCCCTCTGTCTGCCTCTGCCGCTCTTTCCATCAAACTTGTCTGTAGTTACAATATTCTCCAATGCTTCTTCCCGCATTGTGTGTCCGAAGAAATTTGCCTGTCGCTTTCGTATATTCGTCATAAGCTGTCTTCTGCAATTTGCTTTAATCAAGACTTCTTCATTTGTTTTCTAGCTGTTCATGGGATATGTAGAAAGCGTCTTATGTACCACAACTCAGTCGCGACAATTGCTCTTTCCAGCTGTTTATTGATTGTCCATGCTTCACACCCGTATAATGAGATTGGCTCGATGTAATTTTTCAGCACTCTTTTTCTCGTTTCTTGTCACAGATTGATGTTTGTGAGTACATGTATCTGTTTCAGTTCGTGGAAGGTTGCTTTTGCTTGGCAACTGCGGCTTTTGATTTGGGTGTGACATCTCCCATCTGATGATATAATGGTTCCGAAATCTTTAAAAAGTACTTGCTTGAGGGTCGTATCATTGATTTTGATATTGCATGTTGGGGTTGTTCTAATCAAACCTGTGAGATTCAATGTATCATTCCACACCCTGGGTTAAAACTACACTACCAGTAGATACCATGTCTTCAGCAGCATAATTTATGCATACACACGTATGTGAGGCATCGAGGTGAAATCAGGCGCTCGTCAAAAAATTGATATTGAAGAAACTGGCATTTTTCTGCCAGTCGCAATTTTTATCAAATTTCTTTTCTTTTTCTTTTTTTTTGGGGGGGGGCTTAACACCACTGTTGTCCAATTAAGAACACAATTTTGTGTGGATTTTTACTGAACAACGTTGATTAAAGGCTCAAATAATGTAAGTTTTCAGTCTCCACGGACTATCAAGCTGTGGAAATAGCCTAACTTTGGCGGGTATTTTCTCGCTAATTCTACCTTTGAAATCAGGCGACCCCCACCTTCTTCAACCTCTAATATCTCGACTTCTGTTTAAGAGAGAGAGGCATTTTTTCACTAATAGCAAGACAACTGAACAAGCTTTTAGATCATACCAAATACTCTAAATGTCCCACAATTGTGACCAGCGTCTGATTCCACCACGTTGTGACAGCTTTTTCCCAGGTGGTATGAGGAATGTCATATCTCTTCAGGGATGCTTTCAGAGCATCCTAGAAGCGTTTTTTTTTCTGTCCGCCAAGAGAACGTCACTCTCCCACCCCC